ATGAGGATGAGCTGCTCCGCCAGCCTGCACTCCTTGGCCAGGCCCGTCGGCGGCCATGCTCCTTGGGGAGTCAGGGTGACCTCGGCCGAGGAGGACCTCCAGAGTGTCCTTCGGCAGCAGTGACGCCACTCTCCTCTCTTTCAGCTTCCTGGTTAACCCAGAGAGCTCCCGTTCCTGCTCTTGAATGAGCAACATGGACCGCTGGGAGGGAGAGAAGCAGCAATGTGAGCCTGCAGAGAGGTGCATGGTGTTACAGGGGCACTGAAAAGAGGATTTGTGAGGAGACCCGTGGCCCCTCAAGCGGAACTCAGGCACGCGTCTGGACAGTCCTGTGGCAAAGGAAAAGAAGACAGAGTGAAGGGCTCTCCTGCATCACCAAGCACTCAAGTGGACTCGCGACACTGCCCTCGGCTCTCCTCCGTAATCCAAGCCTGGTGTCTCCTGGTCTCCTGCCTAAAGATGTCCTGTCACTTCCCCACGTGGCCTTGGAAGTTTCTGTGTCAACACACAGTGCCCTGGGCAGAGCTGGGACGGACACCCGACACAGATACGTGTCCGGTTACAGCCGGGGTAGCTGGAGAAAATGGACGACCAGGGCTCTGCAGGCTCGGGGAGACACGAATCTTCAGAATGGAGGGAGGACGCACCTTCACCCCTCAGGAGGTGACCAGAGGAAGAGGGATGAAGGAGGGACCGCACTACACCAAAGGCTGCACCTCCACAACCGGCACATGGTTGTTCACTTTTTTCTGCTTAGTTTTATGTTACATGAAATTGAGCTCGATATATTTTTTAAAAGCGCCAATGAGCGTCTTTAGATTGACCTTAGTCCATCAGCTACCACCTCTTTCTTCTCCACGTTTTCTGGCCCACTTTTTCATAGGAGCCCGTGCCTGTGAGACTGCTGCCCTCCCTGGCCCACGCCAGCTCTTGGTTCTCATGCCTGAGCTGCCCCTTCAGATGCTCACACACCTTTCCCCCGTCCCTTCCCTGGGCTGCTTGGTCAGGGGAAGCTTTGGGGCAGCTCCCGCTCTTTCGGCTGCAGCTTCTCCCCCATGAGAGAATCCACATCATCTTTGCGCCTTACACCTCCTTAGGAAAGAGATGCACCTGCCTCAGTGGGCAGCTGGACACGCGGCTGTGGGCAGCCCCTGCAGAGGCACAGGCCACGCCCACGGAGGGACAGGGCCAGCTCAGCACCAGGCTCTCCACAGCTCCCATTTCCACCTTGTGATTTCCCAGGGTCTCAAACAGCTCCAGTGTGACGGCCTCCGTTAGAGATGAGGACAAAGCTGCCAGGCAAGGGCGCTGACAAATGACTCCGCCGGTGCGAGAGTCAGAACTCACATCCCCGTCTGAATGGGGGTCCGGGACCCCTGGGCAGCCAGGCCCGCGGCCCCTGAACTCACACCCTTAGCTGGGCACGAAGCGGTGCCAGCTCTGTTCTTGGAGTGGAGCTGAAAGTTCCCGTGGGCTGGGATTCCTGCGAGGACGAAGGTTCTCAAAGACATAGAAGAAAACTCTCTCCTGGCAGTGTGTGCACAGTGTGTGGCGAGACAGCGTATCCGACGTGGCAAGGAGCGGACGGGAAACGCCCAACCCTGGAGAGCTGGTGCTCAGGTGGCAGCAGGGCCCCCGGGAGCGGGCACCCGTACCAGATGCTGCTGCAAGAGTGTCACCACGACGGACTCAGAGCTCACTGCGGCCCAGGGACGGAGAGACTGGGGGAGACCACGGAACAGGAGGAGCCCGAGGGCACCGAGGCTGAGACTCCGGATTAGAGCTCAGGACGGCCTGGCACCCGCGCTGCACACTCTTCCTGCACGGGCCCTGGGGTGGCTTTCTCCTCTGTCACCCGCGACATCTCTTCCTGCAAAGCCATCTGAGTCTGTGGACGACGTGAGGGAAAGGCAGGCGGCCTGTTCCCAAAACTCATCTGGAGACTCCTTCACACGGTTCACTCTTATCATTTTGAGTCCCTTTCAACTGACCAAAAAGCCCTCCCAGGGAATCGCGGGTCACCGTGAGGACTTCGGGCTCAGAGGGGTGACGGTCCCTGTGGGGATGGTGCCGGCCGAGCGCCGTCCCCTGACTCCTCCGTCACCACAGCCCCGCTCCTGCACAGGCCAGCGGGCTCTGCTCTGGGGCCGACGGGGAGGACGGCGCCCTGCCTGTGACCCTGGGCGGACTGCAGCTGGCGCGCGCTCCCGGACACCTCCTCTCCTGCGGCCTCACGTCTCAGCGCAGACCTTGAGGAACACCTGGACCTGCTGCCCAGCCCCACCCGAGAGTCCGCAGTCTGTTATCCCGACACGGCCCCCGCCGAATCACAGCGACCGGCTCTCCTGGGCTCCTGAGAGGAGCCTGAGCCCCGAGGAGCAGGTCTCCCCACTGCCATTCAAGTCCCTGGTCTCCATGGTGACAATGGTGGCCGCCACAGGTCCAGATAGGAGCGGAATCCCCCTGTGCTCCTCTGAAACCTGTCACCCCCAGCTTTCCCCGGCATAACCAGCAGGTGCTGTCTCCACTCAGACTGCACAGAAGCATCAGGTCAAGACAAGGCCGCTATTCCAGAACTTTTGCGGAGGCCAGAGTAACTCCATATTGTAATAAAAGGCTCCATTTCATACTGAGCCTGACCTAAAAATAAACCCAATTGTCTTGTGACTGCTGAGCAAGGCAAACTAGTTCCTGGGAAAACAACACATTGTATAGAAGTACAGAATGTTCCGTTAGATAAGACCACCTGGCACCCTTGAAACTCGGCCACACCCCAACAACAGCCAATAAGACTTGAATGTAGTAACTAACCAATCATAGTAGAGATAAAGCTTGTTACTATGGCTAATGTATCCCAAAACCTATAAAAAGCGGCTTGAAATTGCTTTTCGGGGTCTCCAATCTCCGACTGGCAGACCCACTGCACGCTGTGCTAATAAAGTGCTCTTGTGTGTTGCATACACGAGTGATCTTCTTGGGGACACGGCGCTCAGGCACAACACTTTAGGCCAGGAGTGATGCTACACGCCTGGAGGGTCTGAGAGGGGACACAGAGGGTCCTCCCCAGAATGGCCGGACCTATTCTTGAGAAAAGCAGACCATTCCCTGCCTTCAACAGGAATTGTAACCAGGATTTTTACCAGGGTCCCACCCCACTCCTCACTCTAAATTGGGGGAAACTGGTAAATGCTTTGAGCCTCAGTTTTCCATCCAGGTGAAGGGCAAAATACCAACTTCTACCTTTCTAGGAATATGGGAAGGTAAATTACTTTTGATAAAGTGAAGAAAAGAATCAGTTTAGGAGACTGTTTCATTTGTGGAAAGAAAACAGAACCACTCGTCACCCTGGTCACTGTGAATCCACACAACTCACCATGTTTCTGCACTTTTGTCCAGGGAGCCGAGAGCTGCTTCAGGTCTAACAACTTGATCTGCGGTCTTCAAACTGCAGTTCACTCTCTCCCATCCGAGAGCTCTTACACCCACTGAACTCCACAACGTTCACCTCAGCCCTGGGAGTGGGGCTGAGTGGTACTGCCACGGCGACCTCAATGGCAGACGTTCACCCAAGGACTGTGGAGAAGAAATCCAGATACAACCTGGGTTAAAATCTAAGGAAATCAGTCTGGGCATAGCAGCACACACACCCGCGAGTGTGTAATCCCAGCACTTGGGAGGTTGAGGCAGGACTGCTGCAAGTTCGAGGCCAGCCTCAACTACATAGCAAGACCCTGTCTTAAAAAAACAAAAACCAAGGAAATCGGCTAGGTTGGATCGGGACCGAGGCAGGACAGTAAGCACACTGATGAACTCACCATTGAGAACAAGTTGATCAACACCCCAGCACACTTGAGAATTTCACAGTGAAAACAAGTACTCAGAACCCGAGTTCAGAGCAGAAGGTACTGCCTGCAGCTCAGACCCAGACAGAGAGAGGCAGTTACGGCCCAGTGTGCCTGGCAACAGGTGACAGTTACAGCAGGGAACTGGAAGGTGGGGATGTCACGGAACGCCAGGAAACCCTGCCTTCCAGCTGCCTGGGCTTCTGGTGGCTTCAGAAAGTCCCCACCGATGAGGACTTCCCACTCATCCACTACCCCCAAAGGTTGTGCACCCTTGGACTGATCCCAACAACCTGTTTCTCAAAAAATGTAGGCATATTTCTCAGAGTTCATGCTGCTCATGTTTAACACATCAAAATGGAAATTGGAGTGAAGAATTTTGCGGGGGGAGGGTACCGGGGATCGAACTCAGGACTACGCGCTTGCAAGGCAGGCGGCAGTCCCACTGAGCTAAATCTCTGACCCATCAAAACAGAAACTGTTTCCCAACAGTGTACAGTTTTTCTTTTTTTTTTTTTTGGTTTTTTTGAGACAGGGTCTCACTATGGAGTTGAGACTGACCTGGAACTCAGTATGTAGCCCAGGTTGATCTCAAACTCACAGCAATCCTCCTGCCTCAGCCTCCCGAGTGCTGGGATTACAGGTGTGCACCACCACACCCGGCGCAGTGTACAGTTTCTTTAGGGTGGTCTAGAGGTTACTATGCCATTTCTTTATCATTAAAAGTTCTTGGAGGTTTTGTTAACTCCAAACTATAAAGCTAAGGAAATGTAAATGTGTAAAACTATCAGGATATTCTCTGAATATTCACCCCCTGCAGGTTAACTACACAGCCCAGGCTGGCCTCAAACTCATGGTGATCATCCTGCCTCAGCCAGCATGAGAAAGTGAAAAGAAGAATCACATTTGGAGACTATTTCATTTGTGCAGAGAAAACAGAACTGAGTGTTAGTGTTACAGGTGTGTGCCACTACACCTGGTATCACCCATTTCCAAACCCACGAAATGTGCAGAACAAAGAACATCACACAACACAAAAACATTAGTAAATTAGTAGGGCTTTAATTTTTTTTTTTTTTTCCATACCGGGTATCAAACTCAGGACCTTGTGCTGGCCAGGCAGTCTGAGGCACCACTGAGCAAAATATCCGGCCCAAGGCTTTAATTTTTTGTCGTCATCAAATATCATCCTGGTTACCGTACGCCCTTTTTGTGCTGGCTTCTCTCTCTCCTTGGGAAAACTGTTGGCTTTTGACATCACTAGCCTCTTCCTCAAGGTTGGGTTGCTTTTTGTGGTTGTTTTTTTTAATGCCACTAAATTGTGACTTCTGGATTACACATTAGCCCCACAAGAGCTTCTCCTAGCTGTAAACGGGATTAAAATAGTTCAGTACCAAACCTTGAGTACCTGGAATTTCTGTTTGGGGAAGACATGTAAATAGGACGGTACGTGTATATCTGCATTCCATTCACCGGAGAATGGAACAAAACACGGCCCATCAGCAGCTGTGACTGGACACCACCGACAGATGCGCATGAGCTAACTGAGAGCTAAATCCGTGAGCACAGCGTGGTTAAGTCACGGCCAGGAGCCTGGGTGGTGATGAGCCAGTGCATACGCGCTGTGGGACCCAGTGACACCAAGGCTGAGGCTTAGCAGCAGGGCGGCCAGCCAGAGGGGGAGATGCCTGACCACCCTGTCACTTTCTCAGCACTGTCCCACCTAGGTACCGTGGCCTGCAGCTTCGGCAGAGATGCTCACGTGGCCAACTTTCAGGTTAGTGGTTAGACTTCCTGATTCGGGGAGGCAGCAGGGGTGATCCTGGACTGCGGAGCATCCATGTCCCAGTGAACGAAGGGGGACTGGACCAACCGAGAAAGTGGCTACCTTCACCCCACACCGTCCTCCAGTGGCACCACGGGATGCCAGGGGTTTTCAGATGATCTGAGACTCTGAAGAAACCCTTGGCCTCCATGAGAAAAGTACACTGGTAAAAAAGTAGAGGATAAACGTAGTACAGATGACTGCAGACCCTCGGCTCCAGGTTGAGTGTCCAGCAGGTCCCTATCTGCGCCACACACCTTTTTCTAACACACAACATCACCTGAGCCAGCTCCTTTGTGGTTCTAAAGTCCCCCTCTCTGTCATCATCCGCTCATTTTATACACAACTGGTTTTTCTACTGTCACTACCCTGGGACCTGTTCTTTCTTTCCCTGGAGTCACAGCCATGTTTGCCAGCAGGCTGAACAGATGAAGGGCCCACCTTCCTGTGAGGTCAACAGAAAGGAGTGGTTCTATTAGTCATCTGGCTGTCCTTGGGGACCCCTGGGGAAAGAGCGCTCTACAGGAGTCACCATCACGGCTGAAGGCCACCAATGCACTCTCCCCACACCCACACGGACCCCTCTCTTGCACTGAATCCCGCCTGCTTCATTTTCTCAGCAGGATTTTTTTTTTTTTTTTGGTACTGGGGATTGAACTTAGGCCCTTGCGCTTGCAAGGCAGGCAGTGGAACCACTGAACCCCCAACCCTCTCAGCAGGATCTTCACCTAAGGCTCTGCAGTCTATGTCTGGTGGCTTCTCCTGATGTTGCTACTACTTAAATCTAACCATTACCCACGAAAGGAAACCAGAGACGGGACCCAGGTGAAGTTTGTGTGAACCCATACCTGTAGGACACTCTGGAGAGATTCTCCGGGGTCCTTTTATCCTAAATCTTCAGGAGGCAGAGAGCCCAGGGCTGTGCCCCGTCACTGGCCGATTCCCTTTCTCCAGGTGGGCTCAGCACTGTCCATGACAGGTGTTGTCACCGACAATCCTCAGTCCTTAGTGACCCTGGTGCAAACACACGAAGCTCCTCTCAGTAAGGGCTGCTGTGCCCACCTCTGTGTTCCCCATGTCACCATCACAATGCTTCAAGCACAGGCCGCAAACATACTGCATGAGCTGAACTACTGCAGTTTCAAGCTCTAGAGCTCAGTAGAGCTTTTATATCATGCATGGAGAGGACAAGATGAGCACAACAGGGTATTAGCTGATTCTTCTTTTAGTAAAATAAAACTTACTGTTGCAACATCGTAACACCAGAGTTTTAGCCTCATACTCACCCCTATATTTTCAGTACAAATACAAAAATTGCTTTAACACGTTCCCACTGGCTTCAGTCACCAGCAGTACATGTGTAACTTCACATCCAGCAGCTTTTCTGTCAGTGGCAGAAGTGGTCGTCATGCATGTACCAGTGGTGGTTCAAACTGCCCAGCAGTGAGTGAGACATACAGATTATGGTGCCATCATGAAAGGGTTAAATTTTCTACCCTATTTATTTCAAATTTGAGGATAAAACAAGTATCACAGTTGTAGGAATATAACCAGTATGTAATTTGCCTTCATGCAGGGAGAGAATAATGAAGTTGAAAGGCTCTTATCAGAGAGAGCCAAGCACGTGGCAGGGGGAAGCTTGTTAAGTCTTACCAAACTGGCCTCTTGGTTTCTGCAGCAGACAGGAACACAGTCAAGGACACTGATGTGGCCTCCTTCATCCTCACACCTGGGCAGTGAGTGGCTTTCAGCCAACGTGGAGTAAAGGAGGTGGTGATCTGCTAAGAGGTCACAGTCATTACCTTCAGATCGGTGTTGCAACTGTGGGAAAAGCCAGCCAGAGAATCAACACCAACGCTGATGCGGTTCCACCCCGCAGCTGCTCCCCTGTCCAAGTCCTTCTCATCACTTACTGCATTCCGGGCTCTGGGGATGCTGGGGTGACAGTTTCTCTGTCTCTGTCTGTACAGTTCCCAGTTCAGGCCCAAGCACAGAGAAGGACCTTAATTAACAGTGCTTGCTCAACGAAAGCACTAACGTGGTTGCAAACTTCCCATCATTGCAAAGGTGTTTCTGCCCACATGTGCTTGGCGTCCTGTCACAGACCAGCTCCTTCTCCAGGAGAAAACCATCACCGCTTGAGAGAGCAGTTGCCCACACAGCCCTGCCTGCTGATGTCCACTGTGAGCTCTGGTGAAACAAGACTGCACTCAGGGCCTCCTCTGCTGCTCTCCTGTCATGAAGTACAACATCTCTGCTCTGTCCACCGCATCTGTGCTGCCATGTGTCCCAGTGCAGGGGAAATGTCACATATTGTCCAAACTGTTTGTATTCTCCCTCTCAGGGATTTGGGTTCTTCTGGGAAATCATTCCGATATCTAAACTCCCAAGTTTTAATACGGGGTGAGAAAACCTGAACAATTACTAAGTATGTGAGAGATGCTGTGTCCAAATCTTCACTGGGTGAAAGTGGAGAAGGACACAGGAGGTCTCCCGAGTTCTGCACCTCCCTAAATTACAGCAGAACAGCTGAAGGTGCGGGTGCCACCTTCACCTGCTCACACTTTCCTGCTGAGCATCTACAACGGGGACAGCTCCAAATTCTAGTCCCTGTGGCCTGGGCCGGGCCCTCGCGGTCCTATCTGCCCTCCCTTGAAGTTGGTGCTTCCAGGCCACATAGTCCTGTTCTGAGTCCACCCAAGAAGCTCCGTGGCCAGGTGCAGAATCCACTGTGGAATCCCTGTCCCTCCCGACCACACTGCTCAGTGGAGGCCGTGACTGGAAGGCTGGAGGACATGTGCCATCCTCAGCTTCCCTGCAATTTCTTATCCAACTTTTCCTCCACATTTTTGGTTTCCACCTAGTCTACCACGGCCTTATCCGTTCTGGGGAATTTTCTTCCTCTACCGTGCCCACTTTCTCTCTTCCTTCTGCTCCTTTAGTTCTGGTTTCTCAGGATGTGGGCTCAGCTTGGCTCCTGCAAGGGACACAGTTCTTTCTCTTGTTCTAAGCCACTGAGAAACTGCAGCCCCCAAAGAACGCTCAGACATTTAGCCCAGACACTCCCTCCACCAGCAAGTCCTCCCTAACCTTTTACCCTGATGGAGGCCCCCAGCCCTCTCCTGTCTTCTTCCTGCTACTTTTCACATGCTGGGCTGACAATGTCTACCCAGGGACATCCCAATCATGACACAGTTGGAGACTGTGATATTGATAGAGGACCACAGAGAGCACCACAGCGATGGGGGAAAAAAGCCAAACTCCAGGGGTACTTAGCCTGTTACTCATCAAAAGCATGATTTAGCCAGGCGGGGTGGTGCACAACAGTAATCCCAGCACTTAGCAGGCTGAGGGAGGAGCATCACTGCAAGTTCAAGGCCAGCCTGGGTTACACGGTGAGTTCAAGACCCTATCTCAAAGGGAAATAAAAGCATGATTTGTATTACTTCTGAGATAATTAAAAACTTAAAAGTGGTTTTTGTCAAAAGAAAAAAACTGGGCTGGGGATTTAGCTTAGTGGTTCTGCTGCCTGCCTCACAAAAGAGCAAGGTCCTGAGTTTGATTCCCAGTACCAAAAAAGGAAAAAAAAAAAAAATGAGGAGGAGGAGGAGATGGAGGAGGGGGGGGAGATGGAGGAGGAGGAGGAGGAGGAGGAGGAGGTAAAAAGAACAACAGGTAGAGCAAAGTTGCCCTTTCATTTTGTGAACTCTGCATCCAATCCTCAGCTCTGCACAGAGGCAGGTCTAAAGGGAGACCAGAGGTGATTCTTTGCCTCACTGCTGACTTCCTGGCTCTCTCCACGTCTTCCCCGTCAGACACTGCAAACACTACTGAGCTGGCACCTGGACCCGTCTTGGATGTCTGACTTCCTTCATAGGCCCATGTACACATTCAGGACAAATACACAAAAATCCCAATAAACACTGTCAGCCCACTAAATCTGTGTAGCCAAATCAAGAACTGTGTTCTTTTAAAATGAGGGCAGTGTTGCCGGCACCTCTTACTCGAGGCAGGGCCTGAGGAAGACGCTGGTGGGCAGCAACGGGGCCTAACGCAGCTGAACCACGGTCTGTGCGTCAGTAACGCCGACTCGTCTCATTCGAAAGCTCTAAGAGGTCAGGTCAGCGTCCCTACCAGCAAGTGTCCAGCCGGCGCCAGACAGCTACCGAGGCCTGTCCCGACCTAGCGCCCGGGGCCTGCTCACCTCTGTCCGCAGGCCTTGCACGCCTTCCTCTCATCGCTGCCGTCAATGTCCTCGTCCTCACCGAGCCGCAGCCCTTCTTCACGTCCACCTCCACAACAGGAGTGAGGCGCATGACCGGAAGCAAGCGCTCGGGGGCGTGGCTCGGCAAGCGGAAACGCATCACTTCCGGCAGTGGCAGTGCGGGAGGAAGGGACCCTCCTGCTTGGCTGACCCGCTGAACTGATCAGTGGCCATGGCTGTGAACTGCTGGGCCCATCGCTGTTTCCTTGATAACTGGAAAAGAGCAAGGCCTTCCCCCTGTTTCCTATTGTGAAAGTTCTGTTACCCATTTTTTGAGACTTTTTATGAGAAATAGATGTTAGATTTTGTCGAGTACTTTTCCTACATCTGCTAAGATGCTCGTATGATTTTTGTTTTCTTTTTAAAGTTGTTAATATGAAGGGCTGGCAATTTAGCTCAGTGACACCGCGCCTGCCTCACAAGCACAAGGCCCTGAGTTCGATCCCCAGTTCCACACACACAAAAATTATTAATATGATAAATTATGTTAATTTTCTAATATGAAATTTTGCATTTATGTCTGCAATTTTCTGTCATGACGTATTATCCTTTTAATATAGAGTGAGATTTTATTTGATAAAATTTTGTATCTATGCAGCGGGGCAAGGTGCCACACATCTGTCATCCAAGCCACTTGAGAGGCCAAGGCGGGAGGATCCTTCTGCCCCAGAAATTTGAGCTTTACCCTGGGTAACATAGTGAGGCCTTGTGTCGACAAGGTAAATTTGCCAACAGAGGTGCACCTTTAATCAGATTTTGGGGCTTAATCTGTGAATAAAGCCACTATACACCACTCCAAGATTTGAAATAGTTTAATAGAATGAAGGAAAAAATCAAGGAAACACAGGGAATTAGAAAGTCAAACATAGGTTACAACACATCACCAGATGGGGAAGTAGCACTCACGGCAACAAGGTTCCCTTCTGGGAGAGGACTTGCAGAGCATTCCAGCAAAGCATCTCTCCTCCCCTCCCCTCCCCTATCCCTTCCCCTCCCCTCCCCTCTCCTCTCCTGCCACTGCTGCTACTTTTATACCATGTGAGACCAATAGGCATAGGTGACTTAGTGCAATGTTTCCACTTGCCAGATTTGGCTTGAAGCCGGGGCTGAATTCCATTCTCAAGATCATTCTGTATCAACATCTACTGTTCCGGGAGGGTAACCAGTCCTCCCAGGAACAGGCAAGTGTGAGGGTCTTTTTCCAGTCGCATGAGTCTGACTTAACTCTTTACTGTCATGGTCCTTTAGACCTCCAGGAAGAAGGATGGGAGGGAGAAAAAGGAGGGGAGGATGATAGTTGCATCGATGAGTCAGGAGTTAGGGCATGGCAGGCTAGCTGGAAACAGGAAGTGACCGGAGCTGGAAGGCAGGCTGATCAACAGGATATGACCTGTCAATCACAGCCAGGATGGGTGGGCACAGCGGTTTCCACTGGGCATCTGGGAGGTTATAAAGGACAGTGGCAGGCCAGGGATTTAGCTCAGCGGTTCCACCACCTGCTTCACAAGCATAAGGTCCTGAGTTCGATCCTCAGTATCAAAAAAGAGAGAGAGGCAGGCATTGACTTTGCCAGCACTAAGATTTTCCTGCTCTGCTGTCTTCCTGTTTCTGCGGTGCCCTGTCCTGATTGTGGGATATAGCTCTTCTCTTTTCTTCACTCTTTCTTTTCTTTAAATAGAAGTTGTGTTTACCTGTTCATCAGTTTTCCTGGTCAATTATTTGGGCAGGACACAAAGAGCCCGGAATCACCAGTCACTATAATGCCTGGTGACATCTGTGGTCAAAAGGGAGCAATACTGGTAGTTTGTTTTTGTTTTGTTTTTTTTTTTTAATTTTTGTGCAGTTTTGATATTTGTTAATGTTGTTTTCTTTTTCTTTTGTGGGGGGGTCCCGGGGATCTAACTCGGGTCCCTGCACTTGCGAGGCAGGTGGTGGCACTACTGAGCTAAATCCCCCGCCCTGTTAATGTTTTTTTCACCCCTGACAGTTGGTGGGGAAAGCCGCCCGGGACCCGCATACCCAGTGGGCTGCACGTGCTGGACCCTTGGGCTGGAAGCTGCGTGGGCTTGCAGGTGGGTGGGACAAAGTCACAGGGGCTCTACACAGTGATGTCAGAGGGGCCCTAACAACCAGCTGTCAGAAGCACCGTGTCCTCCACTGCCTGGTGAGAGATATGGTCTATTTTGTTCTTTTGTTTTGATACAGGGTCTTGGTAAGTATTCCAGGCTGGCTTTGAACTTGCAGTGATCCTCCTGCCTCAGCCTCCCAAGTGCCAGGATTAAAGGCGTTCACCACCATGCCAGACAGCAACTGGTCTTATTAAAAACAAATACATCTCTTAAGTGAAACAAATCAGACATATATTTAAATACTGCATTGTTTCTCTGGTGTAAGAAACCGAATGTGGAAACAAGGACTGAGATGTACAATGGATGCTGGGAAATGGGAAGAAAGTGTTCAAATGGGAAGGGGAACAGGGAGGAGTGAGGGAGAAAAGAAGTGAAAATAGCAGGAAAAATGGAAACAAAACTTTTGTACACAAGGAGGGGAGGGGGCTTGAGGGGGGAGTGGGTTAAAATAAAATAAAATGTGTTAATAAAAATTTTTAACTGCATTATTGGTGGCAGCTCTGGGTTGTGTGGTGTGCTGCACTCTCTCTGGGGCTTCCTGTGGTGGGGTTGAGGACACACTCGTGGGGAAGGAAGCACGCATGGCCTGTGCGCTGAAGTGGAGTGTCTCGGGCTGCTCAAAACCTGTGCCGACTGCTGTCCATCTGACCGTAAAGTCGTCTTCTGCTCACAAAAGCTCCTTGATGCTCACGTGGGTTCTGGAGAGGTCAGACCTGGACAGTTAAGCTGCGGTGCTGCGGCTTGCCAGCAGAGGGCGACAGCTGCATCACGCATCAGCGTGAACCCAGGTGTTTAATAACAAAAGGTGTTATTAACCCATAGGTGTTTAGTAACAAAAGGATGGGAAAGGCCGGTTGTGGTGTCACACACCTGAAATTCCAGCACCCTGAGAAGCTGAGGCAGGAGGGTTACAAGTTTGAGCCCATCCTAGGCCATGTAGCAACCTAACTAGCAAGACTCTGTCTCAAAATAATAGATCAAAAAAGGGTGCCCCCACCTGCCTGCGAGTGTAAGGTCCTGAGTTCGATCCCCGTACCACAGAAGGGTGGGGGGGATGAAGCTAAGTGTGAAGAACCTGGGCTTAGAGTGAAAAAAAAAAAAAAAAGACGAGAGACAGAAGGACAGAGAGACCAGAAAGCCAGGTGCCAGACTGGATGCCGTGTGCCTGTACACGGAGCGACCTCACCAAGGCTGCGTGGCGATGGCTCGTCGTGGTGAGTGCTCAGTTCTTCCTAGCAGCACACACTCGGGCCGGGGCCCAGGGCCTGTGGCAGGCAGGCTGGGCCCTCTGGGCCACTGCACGGGACGAGGGCAGAGACCGGGCTGGCTGGGCATCGGCAGCTCCTGGCCCTGCAGAGGTGAACTTCCCGAGCCTGCACCACACGGACCCTCGTCACCCTTTCGCCTCGCACTCGAGGGCCTGCCGGTGGCTCCAGGCAGACAGGCCTCAGTTTCCCTGGAGGCTCCTCTGCCGATGCCGAAATAACGGAAGCTCGGAGCGGGGCAATGTCTGCATTGGCCAGCAGAGGGCGCTCTGACCAAAGCAGCCCAGGTGAGGCAGGGCGGCGTTGCGTCATCCCGCCGCAGAGGCCGAGGCAGAGCCGTGAGCCCCGCAGAGGTTCCCGGGCTGCCACCATAGCTGCCCGGCCAGGCCCCACCTGCGGGCCGGGCAGTGTAAGCTAGTGCTCGTCCTTGCTTTGGCTCATGCGAATTAAAACCAAAGCACAAGCCACGAGGAAGAAAGTTTAATTGGAAGGCGAGAGGGAAGATGGAGAAGGGTTAAGGCGTGCAGCCTGGAGCAACCCACCCTGACACAAGGCTCGGTGGGGTGCAAGGTCTCTGCCTCGGTGGCCGGCCGAGGTTGCAGTTCCAGAGTCGCACGGCCGACGGGTGGCCCCACTTCGGGGAGGGGCCTCTGTCTCCAGGGCCGCGCAGGGGGTCTCTGCCTTTCCTGGACCCAGACCTCTGGGTGTAGCTGCATGATACACCCCGGATACCCCTTGTCTCTGTGCCCTCCGTCCTGAAGGGGCTGAGAGTCCTGTAAACTCGGGACTGATCAGCTGTCTGGCCTGCTCCTAGAGGGACCATCTCTAGTGATCAGCACACCTCTGTGCAGGGCTGAGAGGAGGTGGGACCCAAGAGTGGCAGTCATGGGGGGCACAGTGGAGGTCAAGCGCAAATCCCACTTTTAATAACCAGCTGGCGAGGCCCGGGGCCTTCTGGTGTCCCCAACCACATCAGCCAGAGGAAGCCGTCGCTTCTGAGTTTGCTTCCCTCCAGATTCAGCAGCAGAATAACGGTGCATAGCTTGAGAAGGGCTTTGGTGCCGACCTAGGGGCCGTCAGAGAGTGGACCGAGGGGATCTCCGTCTTCACTCTGCAGGGTGCACAGGGCTCCCTGCCCACCTCGGCCCCCAGCCCACATGGGGTGCGCTGGAGCCCCGGGCCCCTAGGCCTGCTGCGCAGAGGTGACAGAGGGGCAGGGAGGAGGACAGGTGAGATCAGGGACAACTGCCACCACAGTCACCGGGCTCTGTCAGGCATCTGTCCTGAAAACAAACATGTTAGAAAGCACCTAGGGGAGCACAGCGGGCCCAGAGTGGCAGGGGCTGCCAGAGGCTGGCTGTTGTTCCTGTCTCCGTGATCCTCTTTGTCACCGAAGCGGTGGAAAGGACAGGTGCGGTCCACAGGCCCTGCGAAGCTGCTGTCCAGGCATCGCTGCCACTGCCCTGCTGGGCTCGTTTTCTCCTCTCGGGCACATCTGGTCAAAACAAGAGACTGGTATGGAGCAGGTAACGAACTCCAGCCACGTTGGGACTTCACCATTCCCAGCCAGGATCCCTAAGAAAGCCACCGCTGCCCGGAGAGGGACTCACTTCTCAGGGGCAGGGCAGCACACCTGCTGCCTCCTGGGTGCGAAGAGCCAGGCTG